AAGAAGACTAAACTGAATATTTCCAATTGAACAAGAGTATTAAAAAAAATTAATAATTGTTCAATGTAGAAATAGAAACTAAACTTCATCCAAAAAGACGGTACCGCAAATGTCTCTGTCAAATCCAAATAATAACCAGTATTTAATAATAACATAAAAGTCCTGATATCTTCAACTTTAGCTAATTGCCATCGCCCACATTGATAAATCTTTCAACATCAATTGGTTTTAGGGTATTTAGGCAACCTCGTAAAGACACGCTTATTTGAATAGTGATACCGAAATTTATCCACAAAGTGTATCTAAGTATTGAAATTAAATTAACTTTAGAACATACTAAAATAAGAAGTGTACTTGATTTTAAACGTCAAGCATGGTATTTAGTATAATCTCTATTCATGTGTCCTAGATTTTCACAAAAGTAATAGCTAGGTGATTTATGATTTTCAGGCGTTTGTTTGTTTGATTTTTTTTTTTTTTTAACCGAACGGGAAATAGCTTTCTTGTTCTTTAATTTGTCCTTAGAGGTACTTGCCAAGTGAGTGCTTTCAGTTATCTCTTACTTTAGACTTTCTTGTTCTTGCACACAATATGAAATGAGCTTGTTAAGAGTTCACTTTTCCTTTTGACAGTTGTAACTGACCTTATATTAACCTAATTGTGCAGGAAGAGAAATCAAAATCATATGCATGAACAAGTCATCTAACAACTCAAACTTTAAATGTTGTTGGTTTTGAAGTAAGATGAGACACATTCATGATGTACCCCGTATATTTTTTTTAGCCTTATACTTTAGTGAAATCAAGTTTGCCAAAAGCATACTAGTTTCGACCTTATCATTTTTCGCAAAGTGTTTTGGAATATATCTTTAAGAAATTTTTCAGGAGTTACACTATTGGACACAAAGCCCCTGAATGTTGCTGAAATTTTATGTTTCATGATCATAAAACTTATGTAGTTTGAACAATCCTACTCATTCAAGTTCCGTTTTATTACCGAAACTCTTATCCGTAAGAGTAATGGATTGTTCAGTGCTTAAGTCAAGGTCTAGATCCATGCCTCCAAGAATAATACAAACGTTCTTTTTCTAGCCCTTAAACTTTGGTTCAAGCACAGAGAATTGAATTGATGCCGACAAACATTGCAAAAGTAGATGGATTATAAATAACATGTTCACATGAAAATCCGTATTGGACAATCAATAATTTCAAATAATAGCGGACCTCGTCACAAGAGACCGATCACAATATTGATATTTAGTGTTTGGATAGAAACATCAACTTTTTAAGTGGTATTCTTGGTACAGTATTCAAATATTGACAATAGATCCTGTCAAACATCAAGCCTATCTTTGGACTAACTCAATGTTCAAATAATGAAAACTTTTACAATTGTTACATATTTATTACCACGGGTATGTAAATAATTCAGCCAAATATTGACCTTCTGATGAGAACCCGAGTAGGCAAATGCTACGGAACTCACGAACAAGATGGAAATCTTCCTAAGAAAGCCAAAGCAAGGTTATGGATTCGAATTCGATAAATCTGAAATCAAGCAACCCGAATCGCCGATGATGTGCGGACCTCTTGATTACGCAAAAGTATGGAACCTCACAGGGTTGATTTGAACGCCACAAGAATTAGATCATAATAAGTTCGAAAGTTGTTCAATTGGAAGAACAAAGCGAAAGTAATTAAAACCTTTCAATTAATCAATATGTCAAATGTTTTTTTTTTTTTTACAATGAAAATAATAAGAGTATTTATACTAGTCCTCAGAATCTAGGTAATTTCGTGCATAATCTCCTAAATGAGGTAAGCATTTAATTAAATATAGAATTCTAGCAAAACTCCGCAATGTGTAATTGCGTGCGGTCGCATAGGCTAATTGGCTGGCCCTCTTCTGGTCTCGATAGGTCGTATAATGGTTAACATTGTGCAGTCGCATAGTGGTGTGCCATGTTCCTAACTTCGGTTGCTTGTATCATGTTGATCCAAATGGTTTCGACTCTCGACCCCAACATGAAACTTGCTTTTTTCACGCTATGATTGATGCTCTATCAATGGTTGATTACACAAGTAAATCCATCGCTTAATTGACCTGCTTTTCCCTCGAATGCGTCATTGGTCCTCTGATAATCAACGGGTCTTTTTCAGGGCTCGATTCTTGGATCACATTGATTTTCTGCAATTGCTCTCCTTTTGACTTGTTTGACTAGAAAGAATGCTAAATTTGTTTGGAATGAAGATTATTAAAAAAAATTCTAGAACTGAAGAATTGATTAGTTTCAACTCCAGTTCTCACCCTTCCATCTCCAGGTAAAGATTTTGTGATATATAGTGATGCTTCATGCTAGAGTCTTGGTTGTGTTTTGATGTAGAATGGACAGGTTAAAGCATATGCTTCCAGATGGTTGAAGAAACATGAACCGAGTTATCCTACACCTGACTTAGAGCTAGCTTCAACTGATCTAGCCTTAAAGATATGGAGATATTACTTGTATGGCGAGAGATGTCAGACCGATCATAAAAACTTCAAGTATATTTTCGATAAGAAAGAGTTCAACTTGAGGCAAAGAAGATGGTTAGAGTCGTAAAAGATTATGATTGCAAGATTGATTATCATCCTGGGAAAGCCAATGTAGTTGCTTATGCTCTTAGTAGAAAGACATCTAGTTCTGTGATCCAGACTAATGCAATATGTTTTTCTTTGTTTGGTGAGTTAAGAGTTTCACATGTTCATTTGTTAGTTTGTTTGGGGAGTTCAGAGTTTCACATGTTCAGAAAAGTGGGGCATTTGATCTTGGCAGGCAGGTCTTGAAAGATCATCTTACGTTTTGATGTCCCTTGATATAGCAAAAGTTACATTTTGTCAATATCTTGTAGTGAAATTTGGTTGGGAAAATATGCACTTCGTGCAAAAATGCAAAACTGGTCTGAAATCTTCAATTCTTGGGATTCACTCCCCAATCTTCAATGTAAATACCTTGTTAAGATCTTATATATAGAGAGATGGATTATTATGTTGTGGTGATTCCTTTCCTTATAATGTAAAAGACTTCATCATCATTAAAGCCTCTTCGTTTCTTTTTTTACTATCATTGCAGTCTGTCTTTCTTGTTGCATAAAGATAAAAGTGTTGGGAATCTGCTTAACACGCACAGCGAAAAATTAAAACATATTTTGATTCCCACCAGGAATCTCTTTGTGTTTAGATAGAAATTGTGAAAAGATTGTACCTTTTCCAGATCTACAAACTTTTTTGCTATTTTTTTCGTTCCAGCAATCTTGATTCGCCACCCATAGCTGTCCAATTGTCCAACCTCCAACGGTGATCCACACAGAACATATTGCAGCTACCAGGATTTTCTTCTCTTGTGCTAGCAAGAAATTATTAAAACTATTTTGATTGAAAACCCTAGCCATATATTTATATAAGCCCAAACGGGCCTGACCTGGTTCGGTCCAATATTTAATTAATCCATTTAATTAAATTTGGTTCGTGAATCAATTAATCCAATCAATTAATTCGGGCCTATAAATAACCAATCAAATTAACTAATTTATCCAACAATTGTCAAATTAATTAATTGACAAATGCAATCTTCCAATTCTCTTTTGTATGCGACCCATCAGGTTCTCAATCACGATACCTAACGACATGAAATATTATTTTGATCTAATCAAAATTGATAAATTAAAACACCCTTTTAATTTATCATCAATTTATATTCGCCGTCCTAGATTGACATCTAACAATGTGTCGGGGCAATACATGTGACATGGAATGTCATGTGGTATAATAAAATCAAACTTGTTCGTTTACCGTAAAACTATAATCCCTTCGTCAATATGATTCGATCAATTACGAGATATGGAAGTGTGTCAATCCCGAATATTAATCATATTTTTCATTCCACTATTAAGTCAATATAAGTGGAAAACTCTTTTTCGACTTATGAGTACACCTTGGATTTCGTTATTGACTTAATTGAATGAAACGCAGATCATAATCTCCTACTATTTAAGAGTGATGAATCCTCTATTGGTCATTCACAACCTTCATATGATTCTTGACATACCTGAACGATGCTGTATTAGTGGCCCTTGGCAGAGCAACATCCAACACCGTCAAAGCATAACCGTCCTCATATAAGGTACTATAACGACCTCAAGTCAAAATGACCAATCCCACTATTAAACATTAGAGATTAACCACTGATACTCAGATAGTTATCCATGTGGAATCTCTCAGCGGGTCTCCAATGTTTTGTTTTATTACAAAACATCCACGTGTTCATTTAAGTGTTACCACACTTTAGCTTGTGAGATCAGCTTTTTGCTTCACAAGTAAGAAATGCCACACATGATGGTCTATCCATAATAACGATATTCGTATCTCGTTATTACTTACGACCACGGACGATTTAAGATTCAATTATATGTAACTTGTATATCACAATTACAACTCCTTGTGATTAACAAATTACGAAGATTTGAATCTACAGACTCTATTATTTAATTTAATTTTTTATTAATTAAATAATAGATCTACCATTAAATTGTATTAATTATATATCAAAAGTATTTATGTCTAAAGTTGATTGGACCCATGACAAAAAGGTCTGTAGATTACATTGTATTATTTTGAATCATGTTGAAGACATGCTCTTCAAGTGTAAATGAAATCTATATTTTGTTCAACACTCTAGGCAAGCTTTGAGTTTGTGGCAAGAAGTCTTCATTTAACATCTCAATGTGTGTATACACAATGTTTTTCCCTACTACGGTCTTGTATATATGGTGCTTGCTTAATTAATCACACTCTTCAAGTGTAAATCGAGGTTATATTTTGTTGAACACTCCAGCATGTGCACAATCTTCATAGCGGATAGGAGTTAAGATTTGGAACCAAATGTTTTGTGGGACATTTCATGTTAACCATTTTATTTAAAAGTTTAAACTGTTTTTTAAATGTTGAAGCAAGAGCTCGAGGAGTGAATTAAAAAGGTTCCCCGTTGCAATTACTGTTAACGACCTTGAAAATTGTCGAAGTGATTTATACAATGTTCGGCATCAATCAGCAAATTACATGTGTATGGGAATTACAGAGTGGGAGCTCTTTCTGCAGTTCCTGCAATAACAGTGAGCAAGTTGTTGCCGAAAGGATCGCTCAAGTGTGCTGCAAGATTGTCAATGGGACCCTGTCCGGTCACATATGCCTGGATGAAGAAACCAAGCATTGAGAACATGGCTAGTCGACCATTCTTGATCTCCTTCACCTTCAATAATGCAGCCTGGTCGGGATCCTTGGCAAGACCCAGAGGATCGAATGGACCACCTGGGTGAAGTTTGTCCTCCAGATCCTACACAAATCAAATCCCAATTCGGAAAATATTTGATTATATGATTATGTTAGCCAATGCCAAGATAAATCACATTAAAAAATGTTGGAACATACCAAGCCATTAATAATTCTGTAATACTCTGCACCTCCAACTAGTACAATCTCGGCAACCACAGCAACAATGAGGTTAATGGGAATGTTCTTTCCAAAGTAATTTAATGTATTCCCATCAAGAAGTAGGGCTCCAGTCTGTGTAAATGGATAACTATAATCACGATGCAGAAGAAGAAGATATGACAAAAATGAAAAGGTCCGAGGAGTCGATAGATAATATCTCAATGTGTGTATACACAATGTTTTTCCCTACTACGGTCTTGTATATATGGTGCTTGCTTAATTAATCACACTCTTCAAGTGTAAATCGAGGTTATATTTTGTTGAACACTCCAGCATGTGCACAATCTTCATAGCGGATAGGAGTTAAGATTTGGAACCAAATGTTTTGTGGGACATTTCATGTTAACCATTTTATTTAAAAGTTTAAACTGTTTTTTAAATGTTGAAGCAAGAGCTCGAGGAGTGAATTAAAAAGGTTCCCCGTTGCAATTACTGTTAACGACCTTGAAAATTGTCGAAGTGATTTATACAATGTTCGGCATCAATCAGCAAATTACATGTGTATGGGAATTACAGAGTGGGAGCTCTTTCTGCAGTTCCTGCAATAACAGTGAGCAAGTTGTTGCCGAAAGGATCGCTCAAGTGTGCTGCAAGATTGTCAATGGGACCCTGTCCGGTCACATATGCCTGGATGAAGAAACCAAGCATTGAGAACATGGCTAGTCGACCATTCTTGATCTCCTTCACCTTCAATAATGCAGCCTGGTCGGGATCCTTGGCAAGACCCAGAGGATCGAATGGACCACCTGGGTGAAGTTTGTCCTCCAGATCCTACACAAATCAAATCCCAATTCGGAAAATATTTGATTATATGATTATGTTAGCCAATGCCAAGATAAATCACATTAAAAAATGTTGGAACATACCAAGCCATTAATAATTCTGTAATACTCTGCACCTCCAACTAGTACAATCTCGGCAACCACAGCAACAATGAGGTTAATGGGAATGTTCTTTCCAAAGTAATTTAATGTATTCCCATCAAGAAGTAGGGCTCCAGTCTGTGTAAATGGATAACTATAATCACGATGCAGAAGAAGAAGATATGACAAAAATGAAAAGGTCCGAGGAGTCGATAGATAATAGGTACCTTGAACCAAACAGCTTCAGGGCCACAGTTAGCTCCAAATTTGTTGAATGCTTCTGGGATGATAAATCCAGCAGCACCAAGCATAGCCCATCTAGCATGAATCAGCTCATATGCTTGATATCTGCATCAAAACACAATTAATTTCACTCCATACATAAGACGATTAGGAAGTTGATTCACTTACTTTGCGAAGTCCTCAGGTTTCTTGCTGAGGCCAAAGGGATCATAACCATAGCTGCATATTGACAAAAGGCCAAACATATTAATGTTCTTAAGTTGAGTCATGATTCGTCTGATTTATTTATAGCAAGAACTAGAAAACTAACTCTCCAGGAACTTCTCCGGTGAGGTACTCGGGGATTTCTGATCTATCCAGAAGGCCCTCGGGCAAGAAAATTCTTCTGTCCGGTCCTGAAACGAAAGTAGGTAAATTTGAAGTTGAAAACTGAGATAATAAATTAGCATCCATGAAGCGATATCAAGTGAAGCTGGATGCTTACCATACCACTTGGCGAGCTCCTCATTGACAGGTGATACAGCAGCAGGCTTAGCCTTTGGAGGTGGTGCAGGCTTCTTGGAGAAAAGTGCAACGGTTTTGAAAGTGGTGGCGGGACGTGTAGGAGCAGACCTGGAAGCCACAGTGAAGTTAACGGGGTTACCCAGCATATCAGAAACACCAAGAGAAGCCATTGTTGATTTCTTTCAGCTTTGTGGGATGAGAATTGAGGGAGGGAGTTGAATTACACTAAAAGCTTGAATCCGTGGACGTAGACATGCCAAGTCAGCCTCTTATTCATTGGTCTCAATAGAAGATGCGTAAGATCATGCTGTGTTTGATTGCCTGCACTTGATGAGGTGGCAGATGGTGGTGCTTAGATATGGATAACATGCCTGTATATATAGTAATAGTATATACATAGTTCATTCAATCATGGATACATACAAACAAACACAAAATTATATTTCAGTAAATACATACATTCCTACAGTGGCGGACGTCGAAATTTTGAGTTAGTGGGACACGAATTTTTTTTTTTTTTTCAAATTTCAATTGTTGGCAACCAGTGGCGCAAGGCAGAATGGCAGTCCGCAGATGAACGGTTTTCTTTTCAAACTTTGGTGTTTGCACTTTGCTATTTGGTTCATAATGAGTTAATGGGTTTACGCCTTTTTTTTCTATTTCAATTTTAAATGTTTGTTAATTAATGGAATTGGGAGTTCGCTGGGAATTGGGTGGGTCACGTGAGAATTGGGAGTTGCTTGGGAATTGGGTGCCGTTTTGAATATTGGGTGGGTCTCGTGAGAATTGGGAGTTGCTTGAGAAAGTCCAGCAGTGGGTCCGCCCCTGCATTCCTATACCAAGAAAAGGAAGGGCTGCATTTTCATGAACCTTAGCAATATTTCTTGTAACCTACTCAATACTATCACCAACTGGAATACCTCCTCGGCTCTTCCTGCTCTGAGTTTCAATGGTTGGCTTTTTCCCAAATTCAACCAACACATCAATCTATTGAAACATAGTCAATAATTGATGCGTATTACCTAGTAGAGTAGATGTATCACATAAGTAATGAAGTAATAACTATACGGATGATAACTCATCATCTTTTTATTTTACTTTAATTAGAACTATTATATGGAACACTTGCAATTAAAACTTTTAAAGTTCGTTGTTTTTGGAAGATTTGAGTACTTTTTAGCATACAAGTCAGAGAATCTATTTCCAAACATTAATTGCACTGATAACTTGTATATCATGCTCACCATCATTCGGCTTTAGAGCATCCTAAATCAAGAATCTTGCGAGATTCAAGGTGGTAAGATAAATTGACAAATTTTGCTGCTACATCCAAAAATTCAACACTTTTTTCGACTTTTTTCTATGAGTTATAAGAACTGTCACAGTAGTGCTAGTCACAGTTTGGGTTGATCAAGACTTGGGAATTGATCCACAATCTGATTTTTAGTATACACAACAATCGAGAGAGTCTTGTTTCCCTAGCCACAACATGAGTTGATTCAATTGCCATCTCTAAAACACCAAATAAATTATAAATTTCTAATTATTTTTATCACTTGTTCGATCTATATAATTTATTTTAAGATGTAATCCATAATACACACACAAATATAACCGAATAGAAAATGAAGTGTTAATTGGAAAAAAATCTGCAGAAAAAGAAATTATCATTAGAGATAGAATGAAGAAATCGAGGCCTGTGAAAATAAAGTAACCTCAAAATAGATTCGACACCTCAATGTAGGTGGTTGAAGTTTATTTGAGCATTTGTTTCCTATGATACAATGGTGGAATTAGTAACGAGTTGAGCATCAAGCTTCTATTCTACGAAATTGAAACTTGTTTTGATGATTATCACTAAATTGCAATTGGTGTACTTTGAGTTTTAACTTCTCATTTACTCCATAATCATTTTTAGTATATATACGATATCGATGTTCTCTTGAATGACACAAATTTACTTTTATATTCCAAAATCAAGAAGTATGCTAAAACAACCATTTCCCAACAATATTGTGTGGTGGAACGTTTTCCAAACTAATCGTAAGAATTAAGGGTCCATTTGATAGCGTCGAATTCCATGAAAAATGTCACGTCCGAGGAATTCGTTTTCTACTTTGACTATTTGATACGAAAGTGAAAATGAAGTTTGAATTTCAAAATAAAAACACTTAATACATGTTTTTAGCTAATTCCATGGAAATGAAATTCTTATAGTTTTATTGATTTTTATTTTTTCAACTTACATGGAATTTGTTTACCTTTTCCACTTTTGTTATCAAACACACTCCAAGTGAAAGCAACCTTTGGAGATGTGTGGCCGATGTCTATTTGCTCTAGTGGTAAGGGCATTGGCATTGCCGGCTGAGGTTCCGTGTTCGAGTCCTCTTACCAGCATGGTGGTACTGTGCCTCTCCAAAAAATCCCTCCATACGTGTAGGGCCAAGCGGTGTATACTAACCCGTAGGGCCAGGCCGGAGGTGGGGTTTCTGGAGTATGGGGCCGCAGTGCGGTGGGGCCAGTCACTTTAAAAAGTTTACCCTACACAGTTTAGCCCCCCAGGGCACATCCAAGTTGGCGGAACAATCACATTGGGGGGCTCTGGAACCAAGTGTGGGGAGTTCGATTCCTGGTTGGAGCAGCCAAGTGATGTAATAACCAGAGGAAGGGTTGGAACAGCTTGGTGATGTAATAACCATGGAGGAGGGTCCCTTTGGGGAAGGAGTAAAAGTACTGTAGATCTCCACCCGATCATGTCTTTTTAACTTCACGTAACCATCCCTATTTTCTCCATTTACACACGCAACTTCACCATCTTCACTGCCATAAGCTTCCTTTCTTTTTCTTACTGAGCACTTATCTAGTTTGGTATTGTTTGTAGAGCTCTAATATCTCTCATTCGCACTTGAAAAAAAAAAAAAAGAAAAAAAAACCTTTGGAGATGTGTGGTGTGAGAATGGATAATAATGAGACAAGAAGATACAGGGACCAATCTCTAAGATTTCGTCCAAACTGCAATCCATAAATCACAATACTATTAGTAGTTGGCTAGTTGCTATATTGGTTCAATTAAATTCTTAAATTCGAAAATGACGACCTTTGTAAGTGGCAATGCTAGTGTTTTAATAGCCTATGCTCCTAGGGTTAATAGTAGCTATGAAATCGCACCCAGACATTTGGTGGTGGGCTCATTATCCAAATCACCAGCAAAAAATATAAGCATCAGAAGAACAGGTTTATCAGGTGTGCAAAAATAAGAGCCGAAAGCGAGAGCATAATAATGGAGAAATCGGGTATCAAAGTCATCAAAAACCCTCCGGAATCCAAGCTCTCTGAGCTCGGCGTCCGATCTTGGCCCAAGTAACTGTCTTCTCTCTCTCTCAACGTTTCTCCTATGCTTTTTTACTGTGGGTCTTCTTATTTATCAATTGAAATTGTAAGAGGATATATATATGTATGTATGTATGTATGTATGTATGTATTATTATTATTATTATGCCCCGGATTCGCGCCTGCGGCGTTTTCACCAGACGGTCTTTGCCACTAGTGCCATCCTCCCCGCTGGCTGTATGGGCGGGTTGTCCCTCGCTGCTACGTTCTGTTTGGCGTTCAATAAGATTTTATGGCTTTCTTTTATGAATTTTTAACGCTCCTACGGTATATACAATATGGATTTTATGGTATTATTTGTGACCTTCTATTGCTTCACGAGTAGGCTGGAGGACTCTTGTTGTTGCTATTGGTGTGTGTTGGCCATTCTTATTTTTCCTGTTTTCCTTCAATTGGTAAAGGTACATGGTGCAGCGGAATATCCAATCAATTCCGAGACAAATAGAAGGAAGCACCAAGCTATCTATACTCCATTTTTCAGCAATTGAACATATTAATAAAGATTAGGCATAAGCTCTAGCTGTCAAATTCTGCTTCAACGTTCATTCCCCTCACTTGCAGTCTTTTGTATGAAATAAAACCTACCCGACAATTACTAATTAAAGAAATAAAAGAAGGAACAAACTAAACGACAAAAAATTAGAAGTTATTAAAAACCAGCTACCAAGGAATTAGAAAGCAGAAAGTTCGGTCCTTGTTGTGCTGCTAGTTGCTGGTGCACCAGATTCATCTAGTTTGTCCTCCAATGCCGCTGCATTGCAACATAATGAGAAAGTTTAGGCTTTTATGTTTTTGGAGAGAGCAAATATCATACCAAGATGTGTATATGTATAGAATGGTATGGGATGGACTATCCCATAAGGGATCCTGGAAAGTAACACCAAAGCAAATAGTTCTTGTGCGGATTCCCAATCCTGCTCGTGATAAAGAGGTTGATTGTATCTCTTCTACTAGCTATGGATTTTGGCCCCTTCACCAAAATGAAAGCATTCATGAAAAGCCACAGTTGTTGTTGGGAATCTACTTATCATGCGTAGCGGAAAATAAAACAATTTTCAATTCCCACAAATGATCTCTTTGTGTTTAGATAGAAATTGTACATTTCTTTGATTTTGCAAACTCTTTTGCTATTCTTTCGTTCCAACGATCTTGATTCGCCACCCACAGCTGTCCAATTGTCCACTCTCCAATGGAGATCCACACAGAGAACAAAATTGTAGGAACTAGGGTTTTCTTCTCTGTACTAGCAAGAATGAAAATCTCTACTAAACTGTAAAGATTAGTTGCTTATATATATAAGCCTAAACAGGCTTGGTTTGACATGGTCCAATATTTAATTAATTCATTTAATTAAATCCGATTCATGAATTAATTAATCCGATTAATTAATTCGGGCCTATAAATAAGTAACCAAATTAATTAATTTATCCAACCCTTATTAAATTAACTAATTGGTAAATCACAATCTTTCAGTTCTCCTTTTGTGTGTGTGACTCATTAGGTTTCCGATCACGATGCCAAGGACGTGAAATATTATTTTGATCTAATCAAAATTGATAAATTAACACTCTTTTAATTTATCACCAATTCACACTCGGTGTTCCAGAAAGACATCTAACAATGTGTCAGAGTAATAAATATGACGAAAAATGTCACGTAGTATGACAATTCAAACTTATTTGTTTACGGTGAAATTATAATCCTTTCGTCAGTATGATCTAATCAATTACGAGATATGAAAGTGTGTCAATTCCGATCATCGATCATATCTTCATTCCACTATTAAGTCCATTTAAGTTGAAAACTCCTTTTCGACTTCTGAGTATACTTTGACCAAGGATTTCGTTATTGACTTAATTGAATAACATGCAGATCATAATTTTATACTATCTAAGAGTGACGAATCCTGTATTGGTCATTCACAACTTTCATATGATTCTTGATATACCCAAACGATGTCGTATTAGCGGCCCTTGGCAGAGCAACATTCTACACCGTCAAAGCATGATTGTCCTCATACAAGGCACTATGACGACATCAAGTCAAATGACCAATTCCACTATCGAACGTTTTGTTTTGTTCTAAAACAAGTTTAAGGATCAATTCCATTATTGAACGTTTTATTTTATTCTAAAACAAAACATTCACGTGTTCATTTAAGTGTCACCACATTTTAACTTGTGAGATCAACTACTTACTTCATTAGTAAGAGATGCCACACGTGATGGTCTATCCGTAATAACGATATCTGTATCTAATTATTACTTACGACCACGAAAGATTTAAGATTTAATCATATATGATTTCTATCTCACAATCACAACTCCTTGTAATTTACAAATTATCAAGATTTGAATCTACCGACTCTTGTTTTTAATTTAATTGAATATTAATTAAATAATAGATTTATCATAAAATTGCATCAATTATACATTAAAAGTATTGATGTCCAAGATTGATTGGGACTTAGAGAATAACACTTAACACTTACATGAAATTTGGTGTGGGAAGAATTATAAATCTCCAAAATAATAGATAGAAATACGGAAAATAAAACGCCCAGTTCTTCCATGAATAAAAAACATTTCTCTATAAACTATGGTACGATCACTCGAAAGTCTAATGGCAATTCCTTCTCGAAATGGGTAACTATTTCTAGGGAGAAGGCTTTAAAGCCTACAGATGAGGGCACCTACTGTACAATCATGTGGGAAGTGCATCTTGCACACATTCTCATATACATTAGGGTATAGGGTGCAGTTGACTCTTTGCTCTGCTTATGCCTTATTTCCGGGTTGTAGTGAGGGCTATAAAGATTCTTTGCCGTAGAACCATTGTTGTGTTGCTGCACATCAAATAGTGGGAAATCTGGCACCCATAAATATCCACTATTTGAGATTTAACTCATCAAGTAACCTTCCTACTCAAAATTATTGTGTGCAACCTATCAGTCACAATCCATTGACAAAGACACTTCATCAATTCTGTGGATAAGTCTGACATTTATAGCTTTGAAGCTTCTGGTTTTCAAAATTGACAATCTCGATTGCTAATTGTTCACAATGTGGTATGGGCGAGCAAACTCAGAAATTATAGATGGTGAGTGATTCTAGCAACTTTAGTTGGGATGGTGGTAGAGGAGTGACTGGATATGCATGCTGGGAAGTTCATTGAAATCTTAATAATTTTATATGTTAGAGACACACACAAAGAAAAAAAGGAAAGGCAGTAATATATTCACATGTGCATCCCTGAGGAAAATGGTTTTCATTGGTTGTTTAGATTGTTGTAATGTTTGCTTCGCACAATTTAAACAATCAGCCACTATCTACTACGTTAGATAACATAGATGTTTCAGGTAGATTTCTTTGACAATTATAGTAGTGCATGTAATACTAACTCGATAAAGCCTTATCTGACACATGATTTTTAAAACCAAAACTCCTATCTGTGCCTAGGTGTTATGAAGTGTTATTTTTAACAATAGGATGCCGGTCATGTTGACAAATACACTAGTATATACATGTTTAATCTAGTACCTGCATCTTAGCTGCAATAATTTGGTTGCATCAGCTTGTTATGTTCACCCCATAAAGTTGAATTTTCAGCCTAGTCTTGCTTAATTGGGTAACCACAACAAGTGTAATCAAGACATCTTACAAATTAGAGGTAGATGTTAGTTTGAACATCTCTAGAGGCCAATGTCGTTTCACCTAGCTGTTTGTGATACAATGTCTGTTTTTCTAATACATGGATATTAGATAGTGAACAATTTTGATGCCAGTTTATTGTGACATTAATGTAGGTGGGGATGTCCTCCAAGCAAATTCCCATGGACTTACTCGTCTAAAGAAACATGCTACCTGTTGAAGGGAAAGGTGAAGGTTCACCCTGATGGATCTGACGAGGCAGTCGTATTTGGTGTGGGTGACTTGGTCGAATTCCCCAAGGGAATGAGCTGTACTTGGGATGTGGCGGAAGCTGTGGATAAGCATTATATGTTTGAGTGAAATATAACATCCTTCAGGCCTTCACTGATTAGGATAGAATGTATTGCAGTAATAAAATTTGACTTTTCACCAGTTATCTTGCACTAGCAAACTACCACTTGGTAGAATAGATTGCTTGAAAGCTCAAGTGTGTAACATGATTATGGAAATAAATGCCTAAATCTAGTGTATATCATGTTCCTTAGTATTGTTGCTGGAGAAATCTGAGACTCAAGACCATGGAAAAAAGAAGATAATATCCTCATTATGCAGGACGAATTTAACCTGACATTTTGCACAAGAGAAGATTTGATAAATCTTGCATCACAAAATTATGAAACAAAAGATTTTGCAAAACTTAATTCATTACTGCTATTTTTGAAGTGATAATGTTTTTATTTTTGTTTTTAACTATTAAGATTGCCGATAAATTTATCTTTTTGCCCCAACAAGGAGTTTTTTGCATGCTTCATTTCTAACCTTCAACAAGGGTAACAAATATAACTTATTTTTTTTAGTATGAGATATCTTCAACCTTTTGATTAAGTAGCAAAATTCATCATTTCGTTCATTTTGACCACTAAAACTATATAATTTATTTTATTTAGGTTATTTTTGAAAATTTCTCTAGTTTATTTAGCTTGACAGACAATGAAGGCCGACTCGGATTAATAAAAGTGGAATTTACACAATCTAATACATTTAAAGATTTCATTTCATAAATCATAGGCAAAGTTTAATTTTTCAAAAATTAGATTTCTTTTTATAAATTAATATATTTAAAAATGAATTAATTAATTTCCCTAATCAATTCAAACCCTACATTATTTCACCCTCAAATTCCTTCTCTATTCTCACCTCCAGAACCCAAAAATCTCCCTCCCTCCCTCTACTGAAGTGCGAGGCGGCTATATTTGTCGACAACACTGCCACCACAAGAAGTAGCCTATACCGGTAACTCGATCTATCTATCAATGGTGGCCATGGAGGCGACAATGGTGGATATAGATCTATTTGTCAGCGTCGAGTGTTTGTAAATTTATTTATTTATTATTATTATTATTTTTTTCAAATTGAAGACTATTGGGCAAAGGTGGTGTGGTGGAGATATGGATTGTGGTGTATGATAATGGTGGTGGCTGTCACAATGGTGGTTTTGGAGACGCCGTTGTTACTCATGATAGAAAATTTGGTATTGGTGGTGACAGTGGTGGATACAGATCAGATCTTGCTGTAGTTGGTAGCGTGGTGGTGTCGATGGTGTTTGTGTGGTGACGATGCTATGGGCAGCACTGTGGTGGTGATGGTGTTTGTATGGTGACAGTGCTATGGGTGGCCTGTGGTGGTGATGGTGTTTTGTGTGGTGGTCATTTTGGCGACGATGGGTTGCGGTGGTGGTGTTGTAGTTTATAGGGTGGTGGTGGTTGTGTTTTTTTGGTTGTTGGAGTAGTGGTAGGTCGTTTCTTGTTGGGGATTTTGGTGGTTTTAGCGTTGGTGAAGCTGGCGGTCGTGGTGGATTTGATGAGGTGGTGGTTGGCAGTGTTGCAGTGGGTGGAAAGAGTGTTTGTGACCAATTATGTTATGATCGATAAATTTTTAATCGATAAATAGTATGTGGCTGAATATGTGATTGTGACTAAATTTATAATCTGTGGCCTGAAATTTGCTACTGTGACTTACAATTGATTAAGTTGTGACAAAAAAATTAATCGTGACCAATTAGTCTAATAATTTGAAAAGAATATATGAATTGTGACCAATAAAAGTTTTGATTCTATGACCAATGAATAATTTGTGATCTATAAAAAAAATTATCTGTGATCAAAAAATAATATATAACCTATAAAATTTTGGATTTGTAATCGAGAAATAAGTTGTGACTAGAAATTAATCCCTGACTAATTAATTTTTTGATTTGTGACCGATGAAAAAATTGTAATCTGACAAAATTTTGGAACTGTGATCGTAAAATAATTTGTGACATAAAATTTCTGATTTGTGACTAAAAAAATAATAAATTAATAATTAAATTGTTAATTTGTAACCAAATTATATAAATATATGACCGAAATATATTAAATTAATTAAATAATTAAATCATAAATAAATTTTAATAAAAATCAGATTTTTGAATTTTGAAACTTGTTTTTTTAATTTTGAAATATACACATATTTAATCTCTTACTCGTGAAATTTTCCCTAAATAAAAGAGCGTACAACACTAATTAGCATAAAAGCTAAACTCTCTATAGAATGGGAATTTCTACAATGAACTGCTTAAATCAGAAAGATAAATACTATGCCTTTCTTTTATCCTTGATCACCTATCTGCTATTAACCAAATGATTTCTTACAAGAGTACAACAGCCAATTATGAATGGATGTAAATTTTCCAATGCACCAAAGAAGAAAAGGCCTCGCTGTATACACAGTTAGTAGAGGACGCAGATAAAAGTTACATGCTCATGGCTCTAGATGAGACTTCTGATTCACCTTCCTGAGACTCTGCTTCAGCTGTCCCAACACCCTCCTGGAAAAAAATGTTAAATGACGATGTTAAAATCTTATCACAACACAATCCATTTTGATGTGAATAAGATAAATACCTCTTGATCTTTTAATTTGGCTTTCGCAAGGTACTGTTCCAAAGCACCATCTCCACGAAGTATTTTCCCCCCACATCCAGGGGAATCTTTTGTACCTATTGATTCATCATCAACAACCACAGCATCTACTTTATCTTTTCCAGTCTTTACATCTGGAATCTAAACAGGGCAATATAGTGTTTCAACTAGAAGTGGCAGAAAAGTAATAAGATGTTTCTGGTAGACCAATAAACATTAATGAGACAGCCACAACGCCTAGAACAAGCAATAGCCAGGTTTACCTCGTACATGGAATCAGTTAAAAGGTTTTCCAGTATTGCTCTTAAACCTCTTGCACCAGTATTTTTTGCCATTGCTGCCTTTGCAATAAGTCTTAATGCTATCTCTGAGAAATGTAACTTCACCTGGAATATTTACATAAGCACAGAAAGTAGTAACCCATTTGACTGAAACCCTGAATGACGGGGGAGAGGGGCCAGGGAGAGTCCCAGCTACACGAAGAAAAAATGCTCACCTTGTTCATACTAAATAATTTCTTGTACTGCTTACCGAGAGCATTTTTTGGTTCAGTGAGGACCTGTAAAGAAAATGTCAACAAGTTCCCATAAAGAAACAGATACATAGAGATCCCTGATCTATAATTTTGTATGATATACTTCAACATTAAGTACATCAACTTTCAAATGAAACTCAGAAAAAATTGAAAAAAGAAACAAAGGAACAAAATAACAGAGGCAAGTGAAGAACAACATAGAAGGATAAATTATTGAGAAAGCTTTGTAAACATTACTACTTGTACGCTACAAGGTTCCTCAACTACATATAGCAGCCTTCATGGCAGGATTTCATTAATACACACCTATCTCGCAATCCAATCTTCGATAATTGAATTCAATTTCATTCTCTGATTTCTTCATTTTCAGATTTAGATTTTCATTCATTCAATGAAACTTATTTTGCTTGTCTAAGGTGTTAATCACACAAAATATGAAGTTAAAAGTGGATAGCTGATTTTATATTTTGTGAACACCACAATGATCTCTTTTTTACCCCCCAAAATATATACAAATAGTTTATTAGTCATGAACTCTCTCTATTATTTCATGCAGTATGGTTTCTATTGAGTATCATGACTGAATTGAAATAAAAAGAAAATTTTGAAGCAACAATAAATGCATAGATGCCATTACACAAGGACCTACGTTATTGAAATACTGTCTCCACCTGTGAAGCAACATACCAATTTTAGGCCTATTACTGATTCAGTTAATATACTTTGGTAACTATTCAGTTAACTTGGGGTTGACTACAAAGATCTTTATTCCTCAGATCATTTTTTCGTAAGTGAATTATTTTTAAAAGGTCCAAGGAAGAGTCGCCTAATATATTATATATCCATTCTAGTGTAACGACATGTTCTCGCTGTCCTCATCTTCCGTTATATTATATCTTATGGATATATTCTTTCCCAATGGCTTAACACACTACACCATAGAGTATAGCTAGTCTATATCATTTGATAGAGCTGCTCTTTTAACTTTGAATACGAGTTCCAAACAGATAAAATTACCATAACACTTCTTTATTTCATTCAACCTACTCTAATAATCGAATCTAGGCACATCGAATAATCGCTCTTTAGAATCACATGATCCTCTATGCTGAGTAACATACAACAAATACCTTACCCTAGATATTATTGGTAAATTCATCAATGCACAAAAAGATAAGAACTCAAAAGAGAAATATTGACGACACTTACTGTATTAGGAAATTTTCTAGTATTACTCCACTAAATATCACACTCGAAATCGCTCTTTATTATATACTTTTTTGTGGTACCTATCATAGCACTTCTCTAGGAATTTATTCATTGGTTTATTGCTAATTCAAAAATTAAAAACCATATGAAAATCTTACTTCTCATTTTTACTTTCAATCAATCCTTGAAATAGGTAAAATGACATTGATAGTAGATTTCTCCAGCATAAAAACATACTAGTGCATAAGCGAAAATTGAATCTTGTAAAAAATGATAAAAGCTAAAAGATTGAGAATATTGTTTGTTTAACTAAATATAATGTATTTGAGTTGTATTTAAAAACAAGTTTAGCCCTCTTATAGACATTGCTAATCTCCTGATCATAGTAGACTAAGAAAAGGAATAGATATACTTAAAGCAAAAGAAATCCAACTGTCTACTCTTAATAGAATTAGAACTACTATCAACTCAAAAATAACAAAACAAATAATAATTAAATTCTAAAACTAGTAGTAAATAATAATTTCTACTAGAATTGTCTGCACTAAGAAGCACTAATACGTGTAAACTTATTGTGTATTGTGTACGAAGATGTATCCTAACTAAGGTACTATTGGACACGCTCTAATACTAAGTGCATATTTTTTATATTTTTAAAATTTACGATATGTATTTGACACATTAGGACACATGAAAAGGAAGGATTTTATTGGTTTTAAACTCTTCTAAAACTCATTTTTATTGACAATAAATGACAATTTTTTAAGTAATAGATAACTATTGTCAATACAAAAATTTATTGAAAATAGATAATATTTATTAATTAATAATTTCAAAGAAAGAAAACATTTTTTAAAGATAATACATAGATAACTACACACTTCACATTTATTATTGGAAATAGATATAGTATTAAATAATTGACAACTATAGTCTTAAATTAGCTGACAATTAGAGTTGTATTATTGAAAAAAGAACATACTGTTGAAACTTTTAATACATTTAAAATCATGTTAATAGTTGACAACTATAGATTTATTATTGAAAATATATAATACTATGGAAACTTATAATACATGTAAAATATTGTTAATAATTGACAACTACTGCCTTCTGTTATAATGTTTTTCATAATAATGAAATTACACCGAAATTTATGATTTGAACTTACGAAATATACTACACACATATAACAAAAACCAAAACATTTAGCCCCTATTTGATTCCCATTCTTCTAAAAATTCATTTTTTTAAAACTCATTTTCAACCACACATACTTCAATAAAATAAAATTACACGCAAATTCAATTTTTTTTTTTAAATTTTTAACCATACATTCTTCATCAATCTACTATTCAAAATGCATTATTTCCCCCAAAATGGGGATCAAACAAGGACTTAATATCAAGATAATAAACGTGGATGTTGAATCACAGCTATCATGACTTTGAAAGATAAGGAAAGCATTCTAACAAACAATAAATAAAACTTTTCAAAAGCTTCACTAAACGTGATCTACAGCTACTAAGTAACGTAGGGGGATTATCTCCCTCCGCCTTCTCCTCTCTCTCTTTCTCTAGCCTTTTCTTGTGGTTTGGGAATAAGGAGAATTAAATACTTTCAAAGATAAAATAAGAGATATATAATCAAAGTCTCATTCATAAGGCTCGAGTTAAAATAGACATATGGTCGAAAAATGTTGAGGGAAATATATGAACATCTATCTCCGAAGGAGAAGGGAATGAAACAATGAAAGGTATGTAAATCCTTCAAAAGACTAGAAAAACTTAAAACAACATAAAAACATTAATGGAGTAAAACATGCAAGTACTTAAGAATCTCCCCATTCCATTCTAGTTTCCTCCTACCAACCGACAAGCAACTAGATATTCTTCAATTTAGAGAATAATAATAACATTTATCCCTTTCAACTCTATCTCTCATTATAAAGACATGATTAAGGAAAAGAGTCAATATTAGATTGGCCCTCCAAAAGTGTGGATAGGAGATGCATGTCTACCTATTTTAGGCCTTCGTGTATAAGCATGAATGGGGTAGAAAGTTCAAAACTTCATTCTAGCCACCAACAATAGCAAGGAAAATCTTATATACTATCCAAGAGAGATGCATTTTTGCACTTCTGATTCATTTGCAAATACATTTTTTTTGACAGGCAAGCTATGCATATTCAGATATATGTATATTACATTTGTGCATACATAGGATGATTGAAAAAGAGTAAACAACAAAACACACTGAAATAGTAAGCAGAGCTATCGCTTTTACCTGAACAAGTTGGTTCTCTGTAAGAGCAGACAAACTAACCAAAATAGGGAAGCGCCCAATAAATTCTGGTATGAGGCCATATGCAATAAGATCACTACTTTCCACCTGAAAATATTAAATTTCTTTTCATGACAGGCATATAGCTAAGAGCTTATTGTGGCGTACAGTTTCATGTAAGCAGGCATAAATCTTAGAGATTCAAGGGTCCTTAACCTTACAGATTCTAGTAAGGATGCCGTTACAGCATCATCAACCACTCCACCTGCTCTCATATTAGCACGAACAGGAGCTCCAAACCCAATTGATGAATCCTGCTGCCTGGCAGAAAAAGAAAAAGATTACACTTTTAGGATCATCAGATTCCACAAGCCACAAGTAATAATTCTATTTAACAGGGCATCTTCCAGACAAGGACGTGGCAAAGTGCAAGCATCACCTTTCAGAAATAGTTTTCTCCAAATCATTAAATGCTCCTCCACAAATGAAAAGGATGTCTTTTGTATCTATCTGACAAACATAGAAAGACAGTTGAATTCATGCTTAGCGTAGCAGTATACATCATCAAGAAAGATCTATCATGAAGAGGGGAAAAAATAATAATAATAAAAAAATAAAAAAAAAAATAAAACCTTGAACATGACTTGGTGGTTCTACCCATAGTATATTGTGTGAATAAACCAATATAACACGAAATAGCACTACTGCTGCAATGCACTCTCTCTCTCTCTCTCTCTCTCTCTCTCTCTCTCTCTCTCTCATAGACACGTGATTGGAACATGGCCCCTTAAATAGAATCAGAAATGGGAACATCGTCTCTTGATGCTTACTTTCTATAATTTTTCTACCATGAAAAAATTGTGTGGCAGATGCTTTCATTATACATTGGTTGACTTGTCACGATTCATTTCTCACACACACTTAAGTTGGTATCACAACATATATACAATGCTCCACGCCGAAAACACCAGTAATGAAAAGAGAGAAAGGAAACTATTGTTTTAAATTTTAAGATTAATGCAATGCAGAAGAAATATTTATATTATTTTTATTTTCTTTGAACCGTTTCTGCCACCAATCTCTCCCTCTCAAGTTTTACCTTTTATTGCCTCAATTTTGATTTATTCATTAATAATATTAGGGTTGGATACGGTTCGGTCCAAATTTAATTATGGAGCCGTTCGGGTTCGGTTCCTAAGTTTCTATATAGTAATTAATTTATTTTTTTAATAGTTACAACAACGCTGCATTAATTCAACTAATGATATGTTCAATTTTAACTCTTACAAAATAATGTGACCTAATCTTAAGTATCTTTTGTGGCTATTTTTTGAATTTTTTTATAGATTCGATTGCTAAAATATTGGAAGAGGAAGATAGCGAGCTCACAATAATGAAGAGAGACGTAGCCAAACTTCCAATTTGTTTTTTTCCAAAATTGTAGAAATTGCACTATGATAGAGTAATAGGTTTGTGTAAAATTTAGGTCAACTTGATTAAGTTGAATTTGGGTTGGAAATTAGAAATAGGAAAATTATATTTTGGGCTGAAGCTAAATTAATTAGTTAGCAAATTTATTTTGAAAAAATAAAATAATTTAACTTATTTAAGATAAATAAATTAAAAATATAGGAAGATTTGATTCTTATTCGGTTCTTGGTCTAGAACCAAACCAAACCCGTTTGTTTTCTTTTCAAATACTCATTCGGGTATTTAAATTAAGAAAAACTGTTCGTTTTGGGTCAGGTCCGGTTCGGTCCAATTCGATTCGAGAGTTTTGTCCAACCTTAAATAATATTCTTACTAAGATGACTCCTCAAGGGATGAATTAAAAGTTTGTTTATTTTAAGTTTTCTCTTTTCAAGAAAAAAAATTATAATATTTGATTGATCCACAGTGCCAATTTTAGCACTATACAACAATTGTGAGATAGAATAGAAATGAAGTCTAGAGTGGGGAGACGACAGCAACTACTTTCAAAGAACAACAGACGATTGAACTATAATACCTGAATATGATCACCTCGAGGATGCTTTCTTGCCCCCTTTTCTGGAACATTTACTATCTGAAAGTAAAAAGTATATTCTGATTACATCAAATAATCACTAAAGCTGATCAAAATCTAAAATAAATGGCGCCTTAAAGAGAAAAATGGACCATGATTTACTTCATGAAAGTTGAAAATGTCAGATGTTTCTACAGATGCATAAACAATTCAACAAGTATGTGCAATTTTAAACGATCATGTATAATCAATAGAACAACGGAAAAATTCATATGTTTAGATGCGCAGTACCTTGCTCTTTAAAAATTCAAAAATTTTAATAGTTATAGATTCATAGATTCCATCCAACGTCACCAGTAGGCTAGATTTGGGGGTGGGTTTAGGAAGTATGTGAAATTGAGAAAGCACTGTACTAAAGAACAGTTGCTTGCAAACATTTTAGGTGAAACAGGGATGTAAAATCTGCTCAGCAACTAGAAATAGGGTAAGTTCTGGGGAAAAGGTTAGGAATGTAGCAAGAGAGTGGAGGAAGGACTTCTGGAGGCGATAATGATAGGGTAAGTTCTGTGACAGGTCTCTTTCAACAAAGGAAATAGGTGAAGAAGTTTGAAAAAGAAAAGAAAAGAAATTTAACTAGTCTCAGTATGAGATCTAAACAGCCTTTTAATTCATAAATAAATAGATTAGAAAATTGGGGCCCCAAGAATGCTTGCAGACCTGAGCAAACAAATAAATGAACTTTCAATAGCTAACTTTGACCGAACTCCATTGAACACGAACTCCGACAATATAACAGACGAGGTCGTTCAGAAGAGCCATTTCTCATAATTACTGAATTTGCAACAAGAACAAACATTACCAATGTACCACTAAATATGCTAAGCAAAATGCAACTGAAGTAAACAATCAGCACAATACACTAAAAGATTTATAATCAGGTTGAGTTGCGTTTGTATTCCTATAATCCTAAACTAAGAAGAACCAACACGAACACGAATGTCCAACACGACACATGTCGGACACACCGACATGCGATTTTCTGAAAAGCTCCGACACGTTGATAAAAATACTATTTTTATTTTTATTTTTACTTTTTAAATTTAGTAAATCTAAAATAATAAATTTTTTATGCTTATTTTCGACTAATGCAATTGGAAAAGAAATGATTTAGCTTCCTTTACAAGTTTGATTTATAATTGAGGTAAAATTGTAAATTATAGTGATTCAAAAAGTTACCCTTCTTTTTTATTTAATTAAAAAACCTACCATTTGTTTTTAATTTGGGAGTAAAGTGATAATTGTATTGTTAAAAAAATTGAGTCAATATTTCTAAGTCCCGCCTCTTAGGATGAATTCATTTTTTTTCAACAAACGTGTGACTCATGGCAAAATTTTCATAAATAGGTAACAAGAAGACTTGAACTCAAGAGACTCTTGCTAATCTGTGCTATTCCGTTACTCTGTCGAACCGCCTTATATAAATATTTAAGTTGTTAGTGTGGGGGCAGATTTGTTTATTTAAATTTTATGTTCCACATTCATCTCAGAATAATTCTTTGCTTTTGGAGGCTTCTGTGAGGACAAGGAGGAGGAGGGAGGGAGAGAGAGAGAGAAACTGCAGACAAATGTAAAAGGTCTAGTTGAACAAGTCGGGTCTTTCCTACAATTCTCCACTTTTTCTTATCTGGTAGCTGTATATAAATGGCATTAGGAAGCACTCTATTAATTAAGAAAGCCACTTTATGTGTATTTACTGAAACATACAAGCAGAACAAGTTTCTTCATACTCAAACTCAGATCTTTTGCTAAACAAGCCCAATAGTTATGTTCATGAAGGGTCATTTGTTAAATGAACAAAAGCAAATGATCCCTGTACAAGCCGATCGCCTAGCCCTCCCTGAATAGCCTGCTTCATTGTACACAATCATATAGAAAATAATTGTGTACATTCGTGTGCATATGGGTATATGCATCAAACAAATAATTACACAAATAATCACCAATCATTTGCAACAAGTAAGACCACTGTTACTCACAGTCCCTTCTAGCATTTTCAGTAGTGCCTGCTGAACACCTTCACCAGAAACATCTCTGCTGGTGTTTAAGCTCTCGGCCTTGAATATAGCACAAACAATACAGAAAGGCTGATTGGAATCTAGAACCATATTCATATAAAGAAGAAAATCCTACAAGGAAAACGAGAAAGACAAGAACCTTCTTAATTATCTTGTCAACTTCATCAATATAAACCATCCCTTGTTGTGCAGCTTGTACATTAAACTCAGCAACCTCCATCCCAAAGTTGAAAGGTCAGCTAGCTGGTTTCATCAATAAATGTATACGGAATAGAAAATTTGCAAAATGAAGCACAATGGTAAATGCATATGAGGATTAGCAGGCAAAGCTGAAATAAATACACTAACATATCAACTTAAACACATACAAACCATCTCCAAGAAGATGACTGATTTTACCAACTTGTGAGCTAATAAAATGAAAGGTTAATGGACGCTAGTTTTATCATGATAAAGTGAAGTCATGACAAGACCATACAAGATCCATAATATCTTCAGCATCCGACGAGATAACATATGACATTAACATGGTAAAACAGCAAGATGCACAAAATTAAATTTCTGTAATGCACAGTTTTTCTATTTCTAAAACCAAAACTAAAGAATTCCGGTCACAGTCACATACTAATTGTTACATCCACAGCACCAAAAAGGGAAGATTTTCGGAATGTTGTTGGCTTCTTGAAGCAGTGAAGCTTAAGCATAAAAGCCAAGCCTGATAAATCAACAAGGTTTGCCATTGCTTGTATAAAAACCCTATACATGAATTTTACAAGAAACAACTTGAATTTGTGCAACCAATGCCAAATATAAAGAAAAAGTAATAGACTAATACCGTGAACAATTTTTGCAATATCGATTCAACATCTTCACCAACGTAACCAGCCTGCAAAATAGCTATGGTATTTTAAGATTTATTGAAGACATTGGGAAAAGGTACAAAACCAGAAGATAATAGCTGTAAAGTCAGATGGGGAAGGGTATAAAAAATTCCACTCGTGCCACAAAACTCAAATTTCTCTGTTACCTTAGAAGGCTAGCATTTCATAGCAATAAAATGCATGTTTACAATTGCAATTGTGTTAGGACATGGAGTGAAACGTACGGTATTGTTGACAAGAACAAACAATTTAATCGAATTTCACCAATGAAACTTAACATGTAAACTAAAGGAATGTTCTCATAGCTTGCAAGGGTACATAAATGTTATATTCTTAAAAAAAAATGAAAAAATGGATTTAAGCAATTGCCTGTGTCAAAGTTGTTGCATCTGCAATCACAAAAGGCACATTCACAAAACGAGCAAGGGTTTTCGCGAGCAGCGTTTTACCTGTTCAACAGAAACAGCCAACATTTTCACAGCTTATTTAAGACAAAAGGTCATGTCACTTAATATCATCCATCTAATATAAATAGCTAAGCCAAACCAATTTCAATGGAAGTCACAGGTGAGGTTACCTGAGCCAGTAGGGCCCATCAAAAGCACATTGCTCTTTTCCAATTCGATATTGTCATCATCATCTACTCTAACTGATTCAGCTTCTGACCTAGTATCGACTTACAGAATTTCAAAGCATAAACAAGACATAAAAGGCCACTGGTAGACATATTTTGAAAAATATGACATGGGGTAAAAACACATCATTGTTGGCCTTTAGCCTACTGGGCCCATATATGAATGAACAGAGATACAACATATCACTAACCCTTTCTGAAAGGACGCATTATATATCCTTTTGTAGTGGTTATAAACAGCCACTGAAAGCACCTGGAAACATCAACCATGAAAATATGAGGCTCAAAAAGTTAATTGGGATAGGAATATCGGAGGAAAATTTGCAGGGAAATGCTATAGAGATAGTTAAGCAAAACAGAATGCTCTAAACAACCAAAGAGAAAGATAAAAAGAAATAAAGTATTAAATGGTAAAATATGCATCAGCCTGGCTGCAAAAAGAGAAAGATAAAAAGAAATAAAGTATTAAATGGTAAAATATGCATCAGCCTGGCTGCAAATGACTGATGAATACGACTTCCAGAAAGATAGTAATAAAAATGTGCAGTTCAGAATCTTGTAATGTAAATAGAAAACAACTTCAATAATCCGAAAAAAATATATTCAACAGAATCACCATTTGTGACATTGAATAAATCTAAAGTTTGTTTGGCAAAACTTATTTGGAAATCATTTTTCTAACTCATTTTTAACAACACATTATCCCAATAAAATAATTTTGTACATGTACCAATAACTTTTTTCTGTATTTTCTCCCAAAAAATTCATTTTTCACTTCAAATAATATCTCCCAAACAAACACTAAATTAGCCCTGGTTTTGGCATTTGGATGACGATTACAATTTGACCAGTCTAGTTATGACTTTTGAGCATGAATGAGTATTGTTTTGGCAGTGCGAGCAAATAGAGTTTTATGCATAACCAATGAATGAATGTTCACATTGAAGCAACAAAGTAAGAACCTTTTTAGCACGTTCCTGGCCGATGACAAACTTGTCAAGTCCCTTGCAGATCTCCTTTGGCGTGGGTAAACTTTTACCAAGTTTAGACCCACCCCAGCTGCTTTTCTCTTCGTTAGTACCACCACCATTGCGACCATCATTTCCACTGCCACCATTGCCCTCATTACCCGATGCCCTTATCAGATTAATGCCAGGAGCAAAAGGAGGTCCAGGTGGTGCATGGACAGCCAGCCCATTTCCAGATGGAGATGGCGGAGGAGGCCAGTTCTCTGGTGGCTCACTGCCATATGACTTCAATGTCTCCCAAAATGATGCTCGAATCCTCCTCCCATAATCTTCAGCTTCCGCCAATTTCTTTTCCGAATTTGACTTCTTGCTTTTGACAGTCCCAATCTCAATGAAACTTCCCTGAAGAGGCGACATCTTGTATGGCCTAAAGTAATAAGCCGTCTTACAATTGGGGCACATATTCAACGCTTGGAAAGCATTACCTCCTCCACATACTCCTCCACCTTTCGAGTTACTATTATTACTGTTTTCATTAGCATTCGCAGTGGTAGTATTAGAAGTTGCATCGATATAATCGAAAGAGGAATCGGGGTTGGAAGAGGGCGGAATTAGATGATGGGGCCGGTTTGTAAAGAGTAGATCCATTTGCTTGGAGCAACGTGGGCAATTTGCCTCAGCCTTAATTTTCCGAGTTTGAAACTCATCGCCAGCGCCACCGCGGTTCCACTTGTACCTCTCCTGCACTCCAATCAAAGATTCTCTCCGTTTGACATAAGAGCCCACGTGAAGGCAATTCACAAAACCCCGCTTCTGCAACTGCACCTGGTGCTGATTACCTCTCTTCGATGCCTTCAATGCTATGTCTCTTAGTCTCCTCCATCCCGACATTTTATCTCTCCTCGTCGTCTTTCTCGAGGAATATATATACACACACTGCTTGTTAATTTTGTTGACGCGAAATCGAGATTTGTGTCAAAACTCAAAAAGAATTGTTGATAACTGAACAAAAACTAATCTTTATTTACACATTTTTTATTATAAAAATGGTGAAAGAATACCAGTAGTGAACAAAAACTAATCTTTCTATACAAGAAAGTCGAACAGAGAGCATAAGAGAAGAAAGAAAAAGAACGTTTGCGGGAGAAGCAAAGATTGACGACTACAATTGATTCTTGCTTACGCAAATGCCTTTATTTCAGTGTTATTTAGTATTTTGATATCTCTCTCTTAATTTTGTGTCACCTATCTCTAAAAAATGACTATGTATTGAGTTTTACTTACTGGTTCTTTCTTCTTAAGTTTTGTCCGCATCTCCTATTTTCCAACTATGGAAATTGGATTAAATAGCCTATTTCATAATATGCTTTGGAATTTTAGCCTTTGACTGGATTTAAAGTTTTAAAATAAATATTTTAATTCAAAATTAATAAACTACCTAAACTACCCTCATTCCATCACAGTAAATTTTCCTTTCTCCCTTAGCCAAATTGATTGAAACCCTTCAATCCTAAATTCCTCTCCTCTCTCAAAGGCGATAATCCCTTCCTCCAAGTTAGTTTAGGCATAAGCACTCTTGAATTTTACTTGGGCAGATTTCCATTTGTTGTTGGCAGAGGAGACTAGGCAAATCTCATGTGGACAATTTGTATGTCTAATACTCTCGAATTTTTGTATCTTTGTCAATGGTGAACCAGATTCTGAGCCATTGGTTCATTTTCCTTGTGTGAATGAAGAGAGCATAGGTTTGATGGTTGAGGGAGAACGGAACACCTGTCCAGAAATGATTATCTTAGTAGACTCACGACTGGAGATTCGAATATGGGTGAAAGAAGATAGGTTTATGATTGGGTGTGCAAGGTGAAGTGATTATTTTGAGATTTGTTTGATTTTTTCTTGATCATTTGTTCAATCAATCAACTGGTTTTGATTTTCCTCATGTTTCTTGGATCAAATTCATTTGATTTCTCCATTGATTAGCATCTGTTTTTCATTTTCATCTCTAATGCTCTTTTAGTGCTTGTTGATTTTTCTCATCAATTTTCTAAAAATGGGGTTCTCCTTCATTAATGAGTTTTCATCCAAAAAGGGGGCTGAAAATGAGGCGCTCATTGGATTTGCTGTATTTTATGATAATTCATTCATTTAATGTTCTATTGGGCGATATAATTATCTTCGTTGATGTTGAGCATTTTGTTCAACTCTCTATTTCTCTCATTTTATAAATGCAATTATTATTTTTTTATCAATGAGTTGTGTTAATTGATCTTTTCAGGCTCATGCTCACAATATATTTGGAGCATTATATTTGTGTTTGATTATAAATTACATCGACCGACTTCAATTTGTGTATGAGCTGCATATGAGTTCCCAATTGAAATGCCATTTTGTTTTATAGTAATTAAATTCTTATTATCTTCATTATTCATTTGTCACAATTTTCTTGGTGTTTCTTGAAAGGTTGGGCATGGGGATTTCAGTTGTTAACCGTAGCTTGTTTATCACTAGCAACCAAAATGGGGGAAATTGAAGCTCCTTCCATAGTGGATTTACAGGTCGAATTAACATATGTTCCACTTGCATTGATTTTTTGTTATGCCTATGAATTTATTGGTTAGTGTATACCGTGGTTCTATGAAAAGGGGAATATATTTTACATTAGTTGAAAGTTGTTTTATGAAGGTATTCTGGCATATAAACTATATTGGATATTACTTTCAAGATTCAGACTTATGTCATCCATTTGACGAGTTTGGTTTGGTTACATCTATAATTGGTATTATGTTATTAGATTATTGAGATAAAAAAAAGGGTATTTTTGATTTTTCTCAATGTACATGTGAAATGACTTGCTTTCCATGTTATTGCATATGTTGTTAAAGGTGCACTAAGCATAATGTCGTCTTGTCGTTATCTATTTCTGAAAATGGTACCTTGCCGTTTTAATGAAAGTAACAAAAGTATACTGAACAAGTTATCACTTGGTTCTTTACCATTTTAATGAAAGTAACAAGAATAGACTCTACCATATTCATTCCAACACTTCTTACATTAGCCCACTAAGTATTATGGTAGATTTTTAATATTTGTTTATAGCTTATTTAACATGATCATTTTATATTTTTTAATTGTTGAAATGGAACACTTGTTTGAATATTCCCATTGAATATGTGATCAAACGCAAAACATTGACTAGAGAGTTCCCTTTGGAAGCTTTATTTTTTGGGAACGAAGTTATATGATGTTCACTGAAAAATATAATAGTTTTGGAATCAAGTACTAAGATCATATCCTTACAAAGAGATGCCAAAGACTAGTGAAAGAATCATCCTTATTTTGAGTGAGATCGAAATGTAACTTATTGTTGCCTTCTAAATTTTATTTAAATTTATCATTTGATTTGCTAGTTTGAAGGTTGTAGTTTGTACTAACATACAATAAATTAAGAATGAAAGCTGACAATTCAGAAGTAGAAAAGGTAGTTATTTTTCTTATTGTGATGTTTATTGTATTGTGTTAAAATTGATGACCTTTCGTATCCCTATGCACATTTTGTAGTGGTGAAGTTGCTTCCAGGATATGATGGTTGGTAGTAGGTAACTTCATCATACATGCAAGGAAAAATGGCGTCATGCTGTTTATATAGATCTGAAAGTGGAACTATGTCGTTTTAGTGGAAGTATCAAGAATAAATTAGAATTTTCGCTCCAATACTTTTCACATCAACTAATATAACTTCCAAAACAAGAAATTCAGCAATCAGATGACCATTACAATTTGAAATCGTATCTAGCCATTTAAAATGACGGCATATCATTTTGGGTCACAAAGTCTCTGTATCTCTCCTAAACTAATCGATCATATTTTGGAACACCTTAAAAGATTTTTACAAGTTAAACGAGCTAATTTATTAAGTATGTTATCTCGTAATTGAAACACAATGGAATTTGATTACTTATCTTCGTTCATAGTGAGTCTACTTTACTTTACGTATGAAACAATGTTGTTGGTCACTATCAGAAAAACTTTTGTATCAAAGCTGGTATTCAATTTAGTGAAAAACTTGCATTTGTTCATTTTCATATGGACACGAGTAAATATAAAGTGAAGCTAATGCAAAAATGGTTGAAATGGTATCTAGCCATTTAAAATGATGGCATGTTGTTTTGGTCGCAAAGTCTCTATATCTCTCCTAAACTAATCACTCATATTTTGGAACATCTTAAAAGTTTTTTACAAGCTAAACGAGCTAATTTATAAAGTATGTTATCTTGTAATTGAAACATAATGGAATTTGATTACTTATCTTCGTTCATAGTAAAGTCTACCTTGCTTTACTTATGAAACAATGTTGTTGGTCACTATTAGAAAAACTTCTGTAGCAAAGCTGGCATTCAATTTAGTGAAAAACTTGCATATGTTCATTTTCATATGAACACGAGTGAATATAAAGTGATGCTAATGCAAAAATAGTTGAAATAGTATCTAGCCATTTAAAACGATGGCATGTTGTTTTGGAAAAAAAAAAAAAAATAAAATAAAATAAAAAAGATGCCTCAATTTCATTTTAAAACTAGTCAATTGTATTTTAGAATATCTTAAAAGACGTTGCCAAGTTAAATAATCTAATTTATTGAGCATTTTAACTCATAATAAAATATAATGAAGTTCAAGTTTCTTATCTTCATTTCCAGTAAATTCTAGTGTAATTTTTCCGCGAAATAATATTGTTGGCTACTATCGCATGAACTTTATATAGTTCACATTTAAGTCTAATACAATTTACTTACAGAACAATAGTGTTGATATTTATCACTTGAACTTTGTATCGATACTCAAGTCTAAATGTAACTAAAACTTCCATCCGTTCATTTTCATATGCATATGAATGAAAACAAAGTGAAATGGATATGAAATTAGTTGAAACGATACCTAATCATTTAAAATGGCGGCATGACATTTTGGATTATGGGGTCTCGATTTCACTCCAGAATGAGTTGATCACATCTCGGAACATCATATAAAACTTGTATTAGTTAAACGATCTAATTCATTGAGTATATTTATCTTACAATGTTTGGAATATCATCAAAGACCATAAATGTTGAAAAATTAAACAGCAACCATATATTTGAACCACATACCCTAAACCCTATACCCGAAGTCCTAAACCCTAAACGATAACCATACATTTAAAATGATCGGATGCCATTTTTGGTCACGAGATATCAATGTCACTCCGAAACTAATAAAACAGTGTTTGAAACATCATACATGTCTTGTACACATTGAACGACTACACATGCTATATTTTGTATACCATACTTGCAACTTACGTTTTTTTTTTTATTGTCAAATGTAGTATAGTATAATTTCTACCCAAATTATAGAGTGACTCGCTATAGTTTAAACTAATGTGTTGACGAAATATAGTTAAAACTTTCATCTTTAAATTTTCAAGTTGTTACGAGCGTGAATAAATCGAAATGAACATGAAATGAGTAGAAACGCCACTCATACGTTTAAAATGACCAAATGCCTTTTTGGGTCACAATGCATCAATTTCACTCAGAAACTAGTAAAATGGTGTTTGAAGCATCATACATGACTTGTACACATTAAATGAGTACACGTGCTATATTTTGCATACCTCACTTGATACTGACGTTTTTCTTTATTGTCAAATATAGTGTAGTGTACTATAGTTTTCAACTGAATTATAGAGTGACTCGCTATAGTTTGAACCAATATGTCAACAAAATGTAGTTAAAACTGTCATCCTTAAACTTTCAAGTGGTTACAAGCGTGAATAAATCAAAACGAACACGAAATGAGTAGAAACGTTACTTATACGTTTAAAACGGTCAGATGCATTTTTGGGTTAAGAGATATAGATTTCACTCAGAAACTAGTAAAATAGTATTTGAAATATCATACATGACTGTACATATTAAACCACTTCACGTGCTATGTTTTGCATACCACACTTGTTTCTTACATTTTTCTTTATTATCAAGTGGAGTGTAGTGTAGTTTTCAACCGGATTGTAGGGTGACTTGCTATAGTTTGAATCAATTTGTTGATGGTAACGTTGAATGTAGTTGAAACTTTCATCATTAAACTTTGAAGTGATTATGGGCATGTAAAGATTCTAGTTTTTGATAAAACTAAAGTTATATAAGCAAAACTTTGCAAATTTATTTAACTTGTGACAGTTAAT